TCAGCAATTTACTGATGGATCTGTTAGGATTAAATTTAATCGTAGTCAATCCTCTTGACATAGTACATCTAGTGTACCTATTGACATTGAAACTGAAGATGAAATATTTAATACCCCTTTATTTAGAAAAAATAGTCAAATTCATCTTGGTCAAACTTCCCATAGTAAAATAAAAGGCATAGATAATTCTACAACCTCTCAAATTAGTAAACCTGTTTATTCTACTAACACACATCTCCAAGAAGAAGATACTGAGTCTCAAGACTCTCCAACCCAAACTGATTTTGAAGTAATACCTCCAATAAATCCTCAATTAATGACAATTAGTAAACCTTTTGCTCCTGATCTTGATAAACCCCTTATTAATTTTAGGTCTAAAGAAAATAAAGGTAAAAGACATGCTTATCGTGATAAATACGATTCTACTCAACAATCCAGAATAACTCGCAAATGGTATGATTTTATGATTGAATATAGCCTAGAAATCCCTTTCTTTGAATACTTTGAAAATTATTACAAAAAATTAAATACAATCACAAAACATAAATGGAAAACTTCTCCTAATACTACTGTTAGCTCTAGTCATCCTCTTTTAGCTAATATAATTATTGAACATCAAGGATCTCCAGTCCCAGCCTCTCCTTTTAAGCTGCTTGGCACTGACCCTGAAATTAAAAAAGTTATTGAACAAAATAATTATACTAATCAATGTCTCCAAACTATTGGTAAACAATTAGATAAGCTAGAAACCAATTTAGATGCTTATTCAGCCAATACTACCTCTACTAAACAATCCCCAAATCAACATTTGCTTAACCTACCTAGTCATCGTTCCAAAAGAACTAGTTTAATTACCAAAGATAATTCTACTGTCAAAGCAATTGAACAATTATTCACCAAATTATCTACCACTGATACAGCCTCTCCTTCTAAAGATAAAGGTCTTGCTGTATTAAATCAATAACCTATTTTGGACACTGTTTCTAATCAAACTGAATCCAATACAACTGATAATGAAATAAATCAATTAGCTCAACAATTTCAATCCTCTACTCTTAATAAAATCCATTATCCCAAAGTTAATCCTTAAACTACCAAAAATTGGTATTCTCGACCTACTCCACCTGATCTCCAATATGAAGAAACTAATCTTAATAATCAATTTTCTGTATCTACTAACAAATTATACAAATGGAACATTGATGGTCTTAGTGAAGATCAAATCCTCCAAAAATTAAATCATTTATCTATGGTCTCCAATAGTTATCTTAGTAATTACCCTGATTACTCTCAACCTGAAATTGTTTCTTTAATCACTTTTGGTTTTACTAGTATGCTCAAATCTTGGTGGGAAAAATATCTTACTGAAGATCAATGAGAATCAATTATTCATGCTAATCAAAAGGATGAAAATGAGATCAATTATTCATGCTAATCAAAAGGATGAAAATGATCTACCTATTTTTGATGAAACTATTGGTTATTATCACCCTGATGGTATTAATACATTAATCTATACTATAGTTCGACATTTTATAGGAACTCCTACTAATATATATTCTCGCATCCATGATCAACTTAGTAACCTTACTTGTCCAACATTAAGTGATTTTAGATGATATAAAGATGTATTTACCTCTAGAGTAATGCTAAGAGAAGACTGTACTAAATCTTTTTGGAAAGAAAAGTTTATTAATGGATTACCTAGTCTCTTTGCTCATAAGATTAGAGATATTCTTAGCAATATGATAATCTAACTTATGGTGATATAATTAGTACTATTCAAAAAGAAGGATTAAAAATGTGTATTGATCTTAAACTTAGTCAAAAAGCTACTAAAGATAAACATTATGCTAAATATGAATTAGGTAATTTCTGTGAACAATATGGTTTACCTCCTGTTGCACTTTATCGTAGGAAATCACACAAATACTCTAAACATAAACATAAATCATCTCACAAATATTCTAATGAATACAAAAAGAATTATTCACCTTCCAAATCAAATGATAAATTCTATACCAAACCTAAAAAGAAATATTACAAAAAATCACAACCAAAATCTAAATCTAATAAAGATATTACTTGTTATAACTGTGGTAAAAAATGTCATTATTCTAATAAATGTAAAGAAAAACAAAAATTAAAAGATAAAGTTAATCAACTCCAAATTGATAATGAATCAAAAAATCAATTATATGAAATCTTCTAATTAAACCAATCTGTTAGTAATTCCTCTTCTGATAATTCTAATACTTCTTCTGATTACCATTCACCTAGTGATGATTCTGATAATAATATAAAAGTAGGATGTAATGATGTTTGTTGTAAACCAGTTAAATAAATTACTGTTCTTACTAAACAACATCAAGAAGAATCTGCTCTTATTGAATTAATTAGCCGCCTAGATAACCCAGAATTAAAAAAAAAAAATACTACTAAATTAAAATCTTTATTAACTAATCCTGATAGCCAATCTAAACCTGAAAAACCAATAATTAGTCTATCTAAAACTTTAGAAAGATTTAAAAATAAAAATAAATTACAAGATTTACAACATAAAATCAATCAGATTAAACAAATTATTAAAGATTTACAAAATAAAGATAAATTCTTAGAAGATGAAATTATTACATTAAAACTTAATAAAAGTTTAGAAAATTTCCATAATGACAATACATCTCCTCATGAATCTGAACATGATTCTGATCATACTAATCCTGACCATCTCTTGTTTGATAATTGATCACACCATTCCAATCCTGAGGATAACTGATTAAATCTTATCAATAAAATTCATATTCAGAAATGGTATTCCAAAGTTAAAATTATTATCAATGATTTTGAACCAGATGTCATTGCTTTAATTGATACTGGTGCTGATCTTAACTGTATTAAAGACGGATTACTCCCTACTAAATATTATGAAAAATGTTGTGAAAAGTTAACTTCTGCTAATGGTAGTAAAATGCATATTAAATATAAATTTCCTAAAGTTCATATTTGTCAAGATAATGTTTGTTTTACAACTTCATTTGTTTTGGTTCGTAATATAGCTGATAAAGTTATTTTAGGCACACCATTTATATATTTATTATATCCATTTACTACTCTAGTGAAGGCATAACTACTCATGTTTTAGGTCAACCTATTACTTTTCGATTCTTGTCTCCACCTAAAATGCTCGAGTTAAACCAATTAAAAGATTGTTCTATTTCTCAAACTATTAATCGATTAACTCGCCATTTACATTTCTTAAAGAAGAAATCAATTATAAGAAAATTGATCAACAATTAACTAATCCAATTCTTATTTCTCAAATTAATGAGTTTAAATTAAAACTAGAAATGAATGTCTGTTCTACTTTACGTACTGCCTTTTGGGATAGGAAAAAGCATGTAGTTACTTTACCATATATTAAAAATTTTAATGAAAGACAAATCCCTACTAAATCTCAACTTATTCAAATGAATCATGAACTGTTGAAATGTGTAAAAAAGAAATTAATGAATTATTAAAAAATAGGATAATTAGCCCAAGTAAATCACCATGGTCTTGTCCTGCTTTTTATGTTAATAAAAATGCTGGATTAGAAAGAGAAGTCCCTCGCTTGGTTATTAATTATAAACCATTAAATAAAGTCTTAGAATGGATTCGATATCCTATTCCCAATAAAAAAGATTTGATTAAAAGATTAAGTCAAACTGTTATTTTTAGTAAATTTGATTTAAAAATTGGATTTTGACAAATTCAAATTCATCTTAAAGATAGATATAAGACTGCTTTTGTTACACCCTTTGGTCACTATGAATGGAATGTAATGCCATTTAGATTAAAAAATGCCTCTAGTGAATTCCAAAACATAATGAATGATATCTTTAACCCATTTAGTCATTGTTCTATTGTCTATATTGATGACATATTAATCTTTTCCCAATCCATTAGTGCACATTGGAAACATTTAACTGCATTCTTTTACACTATTAAAAGTCATGGTCTAGTTATATCTGCTCCTAAGATAAAATTGTTTCAAACTAAAATTAGATTTTTAGGATATGATATTCATCAAAATACAATTTTACCTATTAGTCGCTCCATTGAGTTCGCATCTAAGTTTTCTGATGAAATTTTAGATAAAACCCAATTACAACGATTTTTAGATTCACTTAATTATATTGATGAGTTTTATAAAGACCTTAGGAAAACTTGTCAACCTCTGTTTAATCGATTGAAAGATCATCCTCCTCATTGGTCTTTTGTTCATACTTCCATTGTTAAACAAGTCAAACAATATGTTAAGTCTCTTCCTTGTTTTGGTATTCCTACTGAAAATTCATTCAAAATTATTCAAACTGATGCTTCTGATATTGGTTAGGGTGGCATTCTTCTCCAGAAAGTCACTTCTCAACCATCTGAACAAATTGTTCGTTATCACTCTGGTGTCTGGAATAGAGCACAATTAAATTATAGTACTATTAAAAAAAGAAATTTTATCTACTGTTTTATGTATTAGTAAATTTCAAGATGATATTTTAAATCAAAAGTTTTTACTTCGTGTTGATTGTAAATCTGCTAAATATGTTTTAGAAAAAGATGTTCACAATCTTATTAATAAGTAAATTTTTGCCCGTTGACAATCTATTTTAAGTATTTTTTATTTTGATATTGAATATATACTTGGTTGTCAAAATTCTATTCCCGATTTTCTTACCCGCGAATTTTTATAGGGGGGATAGGGATGGCCACTCCATTTACTACTTACTATAAAACTCACATTTCCCATTACCATACTTTGATAACCAAAACTGCTCACCGCATTGCCCGATTAAAATTAGCCAAACCAACTACTAAACGTGCTCAATATATTATCTACCATCAAATACAAGCTCGTCGCCATTTACTTGCTGATTATTACAACTGTTTGGATTATCATCAACAATACTTTAGATCTCCTAAGTGGTTGTTAATCTTTGTTGCTAACCTTTGTTTCCATTAAACAGATGTCTCGCCCCAGGCCTCCTTCCGAAGCCTTGGTTTCATCTGTTCAACATATTGTTCCTCCTCCTTTGGAGTTAGTAACCCAATACCATCCTATTGAAATGTTTAACCGTTACCAAGTCCTTGGTAACATTCCTAAACCTAGCTACACTTCTGCTTTGGCTACTGATCATTTTGCTTCTTCCAGCCAAGCAGTTACTCCATATCCTCCTAATCTAATTAAAATTGCCCGTTCTGATTATGTTAAATCAACCACTACTAATCTGTTCTTCAAAGAACCCAGTCACCCAAAGAGTCAGTCTGTTAATGACTTGGTTAAATCTTATTTTCCTCCTGGATGGCATTTTGTTCCCATGCATCCAGCAAAAACCATTACTTTCTATAGAGACATCCTATTCAACCACCAATCAATTGTGATTAAACCTATCTATGACCGCACTTACACTAGTAAAGTTGTCTACCACTCCCTTTACATTCATAATATTGTTTCCCTAGCTGAATGGGGTCCTCCTTCCCAACTTCGAGAATTGCCTAATAACTCTCTTCAGTATAGTTATTATGACTATATTGATGCCTGGTTTAAAATATTTTTGTATCAGACTGAAACCTTTAGTCATTCTTGGTTTATTCAGTTTGATCAAAAGTTTAAATCTAAATTCCTTACTTGGTTTTTGAGATGGTGGACTCATTATGGCACCATTTCGGATATCTTCCTAACTATTGTGCTGGAACAGGCTAACTATTTTTCAACTGTCTTCTCCTTCTCTCCACAATAGAAGAAGTTCCCTCGATTGCTAATTTTTATATCCAAATATAAAATTCCTTGGATATTTAGATGACACTATGGCATTTCTGATGATGTGGTTCAAAGGATACATACGGTTAAATGGTGGGATAATTACAAAATTCCTCGCATTGCTGAACTTGTTCAAACTGAGTTCCCGGTTAATATTCATGCTCCTACACTTGCTATGGTTAAAGCTCGGCAGAACCCAACTGCTTCAAATTCCCCAAGAAGCCCACTTCCTACTGTTAATCTTGGAAGCCCAACTTCTAGTTCTTCCAAGCCCAAGTCATCCAAGTTAAAGGCTAAATCAAAGGATAAATCATCATCTGCTAAGCCCAGCTCTGCTCAGCCCCAATCAAAGGATAAAGCAAAGCCCATATCTGCTAAAGCAAAGTCTAAGATTAAATCTTCAACTCCTGTATCTCCTGCTAAGCCCAAGGTTAATTCCAAGTCATCCAGAGATGAGCTTCTCGAGATGGCCCGTGTGCTTGTTGAACAGGCTAATGCCCAATCAGATCCGGATAATTCGACTAATTCCGATAATTCAGAAGAAGGTTCAGACAGTTCACATTCTTCTGAAGGTTCAGACAGTTCACATTCTTCTGAAGGTTCAGACAGTTCACATTCTTCTGAAGGTTCAACCACTGGTTCAACTACTTAAAACCCATATGGACCTGAGTTTCAAGATGCTCAGGACCCATATGCCTAGCCAGCCCTGCATTGGATTCCCTATAAATACAAATTAGCTTCAATCAATACTCTTTTGAAAAAAGCTGCCAATTTGTATTTACATTGATTCCTTTATTAAAAAGTTTCCACCGAAAGTAATGAATAGTAAAAAGTCACTATTCACTTTTACTGTTCACCACTCAGTCAAACTGCTAAAAGCTGCATCAACTTTTGTCATTCAACCGAAAGCATCCAACAGCCTACTTTTGCCCATGTGCTGCCAGCTGCTCTCCTGATAATCCAAGTCACATGCTGTATAGTTTATTTTCTTTCTATAAATTGTAATGGTTAATTCATTTGTAGGCAGAGACTAAGAAAAAACAGAGCGAAAAAGAAGTGCTCTTCTGCTTATCTATTCAGCTATTCCTCTGTATTTCAAATTATGTATTTTGAAGCAATCTAGTGCTACTTCTATTAAACAATTGTAAGTTATTTTGATTAAAATCTATTTTAAGTTATTTTGTGTGCATATTATTCCTTTTTTTTATCTGTACTTCTGTCTTCTTCTCTATGCGTCCCTTTAGAGGATTTGATCTTCACTAAGACCATCAATAGAATGCACTAAAATTTTATAGTTTTATACCATAATTTATTCCAGCACCAAAAAAATTTGAAACTGCAAAATTTTACAATTTTAAACCATGATTCATTCTGGTACCCAAAAAAATTTGAAACTGCAAAATTTTATAGTTTTCACCGCCTGTAACTAAAACTCGAAAACTACTTGTTCAGAATTTGAAAATTTTCTCCATTAGAACAGAAAAAGAGAAGTGTATAGCAGAGAGGAAAAAAAAAAAAAAGAGATCGAAGGAGAAAGGCGGATATAGAGAGAGGATTGTACTCCGATAATTATTTTTTATTTAGATCTAGCCAAATCTGATGTAGATCTGCATTAGATCTAAGTAGATTTACTCATCTTCTTCGCCATTGGTGAGGGTGAAGTCACGAGTTGATTTCGATGGTTGGTGGTTACCGGTGAATCCCGATCAATGGTGGTCGTCGGTCACCCGTAACTATATATTAGAAAGAGAAAGAGAATAAGAATGACGTGATCACCGGTTGTTGTCCATGACAAAGAAGATGAGAGAAAAATACAGAAAAAAAAGAGAGAGGAAAACGTAAAGAGTGAGGCAAAAAGCAGAGAGAAAGAAAGAGAGGAAAAGTAGGACTTTTTGGTCTACTCAAAAAATTGTTGGATTAAATAGTGTACACATATTTCAAATAGGATCTGTGGGTAATTTTCCCTTTAATATTACAATTTAATGAGTTTTAAAAAATTAGGATCTTTTTTTTTGGGTCATGGTATTAACATTTTATAATATAAAGAACATCTAATATTTTCATAATGTTTCCCTTAATATCAATCCAAAGAAATTTCGATTTCTAAAGAAATTCTCTCTAGATTCCTAGAGAAATTCTCTCTAGAGAAATATTGGACTTCTCAAAGAATTTCAAAATTTTTCTGGATTCAAACTAGAGAAAATTAAATTTTTTTTGGCTTTGTTCACAAATTTCTCTAACTTTGTTCACAGAGAATTGAAATTTCTCTAGCTCTGTTCACAGAGAATTTCTCTGTCGTTGTTCACAAACTTCTCTGTATTTGTTTACAATTTTAAATTAGAGAAAATTATTTTAAATAGACCAGTGGAAAGCCCCTCTGCTGCTCAACTACATTCCCACCTACAAATCCGCGCTCCTCGACGTCTCCAAGAAAAGCAAGTCTCCATCATCAGCAACAACTCCCCCTAACACTTCATTACCATAGCCTGACCAAGCCTCAACCTCTGATCCAGTGGGGCAGCTATCAACATCCGCTCCACAACTAATTCGTCCTGCCCAGTGACAGTGCCAATGCCGTCGCCGAGTTCCAATCTCTGTCCCTGCCGGCAGAACTCGTAGCCGAAAATACCAAAGTACTAAGGCGTCGGCTTACAATCCAGCCAACCCACTCACTGCACTTCCAGCAATCCACTTCGGCAACAAAGTCACTGTCGCCGCTACGGTCGACGAGATGGGACGCAACAAGGCTGTCCTGTCATTGAAGACCTCTTGGCTGACATCCCTGGTATTGTGACCGTCCAATCCTTCCCATCACAATCCCAACCTAAGCCAAGGTAAAAAGGGTAAAGAGGGCCCAGGCAAAAGCCTCTTTCACCCAAGTTGAGTCTGAAGATACAGTTCCAATCTCAAAGCTTGCCAAGATTGAGAAAACAAGCTCTGCTGCCGAAAAGAGGCCTACTGAGGCTGACGCCTCCGAAACCGTTCAATTAAAGAAGCTGAGGTCTGAGTCTACAGCCACCTCGGGTTCTCTTAAACTTGACGACCCCTGGGCCCCATCTATCACGATCAAGGGCAAGCCAGTCAGAGTAGGTGACAGTGCTATCGACAACATCGATGTCGGTGTTGCCCTTTCCACTACACTGCTCCTTCCAACTGACCTCAACCGTATGGCCGAGGTCAGTGAATATGAGAATTTTGCTCTGATGATGCATCACTCCGTATTGGTAAATTCCTAACACTTCATATTCTCTATTCTCTACTTTGAAGTTCCTCATACCACAAAGAGTTTACTAACTTTGTTCATCCCGTTTTCTCTAGGCGATCCAGCATGCCCACACGTTCGTGATGAAGGCTGAGGACTTGAAGAAGGAGTTGGTCCATAAGACCAAGGACCAATAATCGAGCTCTAATAGACTAGGCCAAGGATGCCAAAGTTGCTCAGAATTTGGCTGAAGAAAAAGCCAAAACGACCAATGACGAAGCCAAGGTCGCAAGAGCCGACCTTGAAGCTGTCAAGGCCAAGGCAGCTAACTTGGAAGCCAAGCTTCAGGAGGCCCTTGCCTCTAAGGAGGCCGAGGTAAAGGCGACTGATGAAAAAGTGTTCGAAAAGGGGCAGGTTGCCGTCCGTGATCAATACAAACAGCAAGTCAACTTGGCTTGCAACCGAGGTTATTACCTCGGTTAGACGGCGGCCCTCAACAAATTGGTTATTTCCATGGACTCCGACCTTCGAGACATTAACCACCTTGAGGTGCCCTTCCCACCAGAGCCCAAAGATAATGCCGAGGACGATGAAGCCGACAAAGTGGAGGAGGAGGCTACCACTGATGCCAAGTCTCCCATCCTTAATGAGCAAATAGACCTGACTCAAGATGAAGAGGATGACTTGGCTTCCAAGGGCGTCTCCCCCAAACCCATCACATCTGAGGCCAAGGTCCAGTGCGTTGAAAAGAGTCTGGATTAGACATTGCAAGAAATAGATACTGAAATAGAGGCTGACAAGAGTGCAACACCACCAGCCGATCAAGCCAATCCTAGTACTTAGGATATTTCATCTTTTCCCTGTATTTTTTTCCTTCCTTTGTTTGTATTTTGTTTTTCCTGAACAATGTTTACTTTCATATTTGGCCGATGTGCCCTTTTGTACTCCGAATGAGTTGTCTTTTGAATGCAAGCCTCATCATTTCTTTTAAGTGTTGAATGTTTTCTTTTCTCTTATGTATGTTTTCCACTTGCATACTTGGAATAATTTTGCATGTCTTCAAAGTATACCTTTATTTGTATAACCTCTTCAGAGTAAAATACCTTGGACATAACTTCTAATTGTTTATCTTGGCCTTGGCTTAACACTTGAAAACATTGTAAAAATATTTTCACAAGTGCTGTTTTAAACTTGCCACTTCACTCTCAGTTATCAAGACTTCTGTCTTCTATATTTTCCGAGTTTGGCAACTTGGTCATCTCGGCAAGTACGTATGTACTTCTTGCAATATTACCTCGACCTAACTTCAACTTGTAAATTTTTCTGAAATTTCAACAAGTGTTAAGCCAACTCTAGCTTGTAAATTTCTCTATTAAATTCCAACACCCAAGCACTTTAACTTTAAACTTGTACTTATCATTCTCTAGCTTCTTGCCCCCTAATGTGAATGTAAGTTTCACTTATATCCACATTAAGCACGTATAGTTTTTGTCGAAGTCAGATTCAAACAAAGACTAGCCAAGGTTTTAACCCTTGGTTTCTTTGTTAATCTAACTGAAATGCACTTAGTTTCATTCTAAGTTTAATTCTGCCGACATGGTAATCAGAAACATCGCCAACTTAGTTCAACTCTATTATATGCAAGTCCAGTTTCATCTCTGCCATATAATAAGTCTAAGTTATTCGTCATGTTTCAATCAGAAACATAGCCAACTTAGTTCAACTCTATTCTATGCAAGTATAATTCAACTCTGCCATATAATAAGTCTAAGTTATTCGTCATGTTTCAATCAGAAACATCGTCAACTTAGTTTAACTCCATTATATGCAAGTATAATTCAACTCTGCCATATAACAAGTCTAAGGCCTCGTTTGGGAACAGACTAATTTAGTAACTTTTTGGCTATTTGGCTAAAATATGAGCTAAAAAAAACTAGTATGTTTGGGATGACTTATTGAGTTTTTACGAAAAGATGTGCAAAAAGTAGAGAGAAAAAAGAATATTTGACTTTTTGGTATGGGTTGTTAGCTTTTCGGCTAATTTAGTAACTTTTTTGACTTTTTGGCTAAAAAAGAGGATTTCCTAATGAGGCCTAAGTTATTCGTCATGTTTCAATCAGAAACATTGCCAAAGGACTGGTCAGTCTAATCACACAAATTTTCAAATTCTTAAAAAATCAAGCTAAAAATTTTTATTGCTACCTCGGCTAAGAAAATCATGACATAAATTTCGAAAAGCAAAAAAGTCTAATGATAAAAAAAAACTTTAAGTTGCAAGTGTTCCAAGGTCTTGGCAACTCCTTGCCTTCATTGTCTTCAAGCCTATATGCCCCATTGCCAGCGACCGAAATGATTCTATAAGGCCCTTCCCAATTTGGGCCCAGCATTCCCTCTCTGGGATCCTTCTTGTTACCGACGACCTTTCTTAGGACGCAGTTCCCAACTTGAAA